AATTTAATTTTGCGGTGAATACTAATGAATACTGTGAATACTAATCAAGACTTTTTTGTGTAAGGGTTCTAACCTAAAGAATAAGAGTATGGCATTTTGTTGTCACTATTGTCCAAATCGTACGCTCTCTTCACTGGTCTTTACTACAAAAACCATCCTGTGCTTTTGTTGTTTCACAATCCCAAATAGCTGGCAGCAGATGACTCATTTTGCCCTCACCTTCCCGCATATCTGCCAGAATCTTTTTCCATCAAGGTTGGGAAGATTAAAAGCGATTTGAGCAGAACGAACAAATACAGATGCCTATTTTCCCTAAAGCCATGATTTTTCTCCTCCTTCCGGCACAGTTGAAAAGCTCTGAAATAAGATAAATAAAAATAAAGATTTAAATCTGAGCGGGAGGTTATTCCTCTTTGCCTGTGCGCTTCAATTAGCATCTTCCAAGAGGTCAATGACTTCATATAAAGCTCCCTTTCAGCACTTCTCTCACAGTGGCACATTGGCACAATTGAATTTGAATGGGTTTTTAATATATATTCAATTTAGGAAAGCTGACCAACCATTTGCTGCCCACAAGAGGGTTTAACAGGAGAGGTGAACATTGCCTGAGTGAGCATGTTGTAAGCAAAATCTGAGAGAGGGAAAAATCTGTCTTTTAGGATACCTGCTGAACACTTTATTATTATGATTATATTATTAAAATTCAATATAGATTGGTGAGTGAATAAGGATATGAGCAGACTCTTATTTCAATAGAGATGAGAATTATAATAACTAACTGATCACACTGCCTTGACGAGTTTCACTAACTTAAATGTGGTGCCTGAAACACCTCCATTGGACTCCTTTGTTTACTTCCGTAACATAGTGACATCACTCTGTAACTCTCGCGATTCTATTGGAGCTCCAACTCATTATACATAATAAGCTAAGGGGCGGCCGCGGGACATATCTAAGCGTTGGCCAATCAAAACAGAGCCGGGCAGCTAACCTATCAGAGCAGACTGGGCTCTTGTTTCAGGCAGAGGGTGAAAAGAGGTGCTGCAGCACAGGCAGTATGAGAAAAATAAAGAGCTTTTTGAACATTAAAGCATGGAGACATGTCACAGTAGAGGAACAAAATACAAATATGAACCTGAAAGGAGTGCATTTCATGTACTTCTTAAAGAAAAGGATGTTCGATAATATAATCCACACAGTAGACACAAGCTGCCAACACATGATCAGTTATCAACCCAGCACTCTTAAACCAATGCTACCTGGGTACAGCAGAAACATGCTGACATATTATCACATTTTCTATTATAAAGTTGAATGTGTTAGCAGTTGCACAGTACACATCCAGCAGATACTTGGCAACACCATCACTCAGTTGGAGTTGAGCTGTTGGACATATGTTGAATGTCATTGCAGTGTTCGAACTTCTCTTGAGTTTCCGTTTTGGTATCCATCAACTCCTAAGGGAATTACATGGTTACACGCTCCACTATGTTAACAGTCACTACCTTTTCTGTCTGCTGTTTGGTGCTTGGCAGGTTGAGGTACTGTAAAAGTAGTGAAAGTTAACCAAACGATGGTCTTACAATAGAGACATATTGAATATAGCTAATTCCATTTTCAAATAATCTACCCTGTATTAGAATTCCTAAATGTTCTCTCCATAATATTGTTTCATCTTTCATGAAGCTGAGCAGCAGAGTCATTATGTCATTTAGAGACGAATAGCAGGGCAGCCATGGGATCTCCCTGGAAAATAGGCATAATTCCTGACTCACTCCTCGAAATCTACATAAAAAGCAGACAATTAGGAATGTAATGTTACAGACAGTAGACAGTCTGTTATGAACGGAGTCGGACAAGAATAAGGTTAGAGAGATGTTTGTATTTTTTTTATTGGCAGTTTAGAGACTTGTATCCAGGTGTAGATAAGTGGAAATAAAGAAACAAATCTGTAACTAAAAAAGAAAATGTATTGGCTTTCCTTTTCCAGAAATCAGTGCGACCAGGAGATTCACATTATTTGCTCTATTACAGGGTTAATCCAATCAACTTATGTGTGCAGATATGCCTGTCAGATATAGATGACGATACTTATGTTGTTGTCATCTTTGTTTGTCCACTCCTGTCCCCCTCTCGTCTTTTCTGCTGGTTTGTTTGCAGATCTCCTGCCGTTAGAGATGACAGCCTCATCAAGTCTTTCACTGGTATAATGTGTTGACTACCACGCCTCAAATTACCAATCGACCTGCTAGGTGAGTGCTTTCTGCTCTCAGTGGTCTTGTTATAAGCATAATATATGGGTGCTGCTTTTATCAAAACCAGCGGTAATGAGATAACATGATGAGTTTGAGAATCTGTTTTTTGTCAATTATTGTCACAACATTTAATAAAGACTTCTGTTAAAATGTCCTTCGTACGGTGGCCCTGAAGTGCAAAACACCACAGCATTTCACAAAACACTACAGCATTTCAGAAAACACCACAGCATTTCAGAAAACACTACAGCATTTCAGAAAACACCACAGCATTTCACAAAACACCACAGCATTTCACGAAACACCACAGCATTTTAGAAAACACTATAGCATTTCAAAAAACACCATAGAATTTCAAAAAACGCAACAGCATTTCAGAAAACGCCACAGCATTTCAGAAAACACTACAGCATTACAGTAAAAACCACAGCATTTCACATTGGACGGAAAGGGTACTCCTTTAGGGAGAACACTTCTTGTTTGTGATTGGACAGAGCCAGCCAGAGAAGCATTGCTGTGATTGGTTGTTTTTGCTGTCAGCATCCGACAGCGCAACATGTCCACTCCCAACACATCAGCCGTTAGCTGTTAGCACACACTCAGACCTCACAGCTCCTCATATCTGTTCAGAAACTGGACAATTTGTGTTTTGTATATGTTTAACTTTTGTCCAATTTCTGAACAGATATGAGGAGCTGTGAGGTCTGAGTGTGTGCTAACAGCTAACGGCTGATGTGTTCACTTTAGAGGGCCCACTGCTGACAACCATGCCACTTTAAAGTCTACAGAGCCATTTACNTATAGAGATGTCCCGATCCGATCACGTGATCGGGGATCGGAGCCGATCACGTGATCGGGGATCGGAGCCGATCACGTGATTTTCAAAAGATCGGAATCGGGAGAAAAAAATCGGGGATCGGGATTTTATTTTTTAAAATTTTTTTAAATACTTTTTTTATTTTATATTCAATGTTACAAAACAAAAATGACCATGTTCAAGTCTTAAAGTCCTCCTGGGCCTTAGTTTTGGTTTCAAATTACACAACATCATGTATGTGTTGCTTCTTTGGGGCTTGTTTTCATAGACCTGGTTGCTTATTTCTCTCAAATCTGGCAACAGAGTGGCCAGGGTGCAGTGTCTAATTGTAGCAGTAAGCTAACAAGTACTGATAAGCTTTATTTTTGGTTTGATCCAATGCTGCACAACTGAACTGATCCAGTGCTGCTGTGAAAAAAATAAGCTATATCCATGTTGGATAGAATATCCAATTTAAATAAAAAAATAACCTTAAGGGACAACTTGAATGCTTTTTTTCCTCTTAATGCATTGCATAAAGATCGGATCGGGAAAAATCGGTATCGGCAAATTGTCAAAATCAAATGATCGGAATCGGATCGGGAGCAAAAAAAGGTGATCGGGACATCCCTAATCCTAAATATCCAGCATGTCTTCAGTTAAATTCAGTTCTACTCCACTAAAAAACATAAAAAGGCTGCTTCCACCTTGATCAACAGAAGAAGGAAAGTGTGTCTGCACCATAGACTGTACTCACCTTACAGGTAACCCTGGAGTTGTCTTTGAAAACAAAAAAGTTGTACTCACCAAAATACATTGTATGTATCCTTGATGTCAAACAAACATGATGAGAGCATTCTTTTCCCATAAAATATATTAGCAGTTGAGTTTTTCCAAGTATTTAAATTCAGAATTGTTTACATCGATATTTGTTAGTATTCTTCTTCTCTCTTTTCTTTGCTGTTGCAGGACATTTTGGCGTGTTACTGCCACCTAGTGATCAGTGGAAAAGAGTCACACCTGTATTGAGGCACGTGTTAAACAAAATGGGGACCAACTCGTTGAAAACAGTCGCATAAAGCTAGTGGAGGTCTGAAAAATCCTCTTATAACCATTACTTATGGATTAAAGATATGAACAAGTAGTGATGTGTGATATCACAACTAAAAACCAATCATGGTTCTCAAGGAACATATTCAAAGTAGGACAAAAATAACCCTGAAACTGTGAAATTATGATTCCAAGCATATCATGTCACGTTTTACAGGATCCTTTGCAAAAGGTAAGAGCAATAATGAACTGACACAATCTATGTTTATCACCGGATACTGTGCCTGTACTTTTGAAAAATTTAATTACAGATGGTGATCAGATAATATCTTTAATAACCAAACAATGTTATGATTTGATTTCTCACAATTTATCATTTGACCATTAGTTATTGGCTGCTATATTATTGATAACAAAATATAGGATATGACAAGATGATACAAGTAGAAATAGGTTGTTTAACAATCACTGTTGACTTTCACTGACATATTGAGTTGTATCAAATCACTACCCTATTATTTATCTTTGTGATGTTTGCTAGAACAAATGTTAAAACAAGGTCATTTAACAATCAAAGAGTAGGCCTAGGCTAAACACATGTACAAAGAGGTAGTTTAACAACCACACACGACACATGCATAATTCACACACATAATGAGTTTAATCAAATTACTAGCTCGTGGTTTCCTCCCATTATGGTGTTTTGTTAAATTTTTAACGGTGTCCAGAAGTGTCCAAACCGAGTGCACACACGCTGAGAAGAGGCTGCCTCCCCCCGTTGTGCTCGGCACACAGACCGAGATAAGGCGAGGAGGAGCTCCACCACACACACGCTCATTCGCATAACCGGGAGGCAGTTAGACGCTCTTGGATTACCGGGCAGCGAAGTGTCACCGCTCAGACCGGCTCCAGACCGGCGCTCCTCCACCGCACCGCCGATCATTAATCCCTCTCGTAAAAAGGCAGACACCTGGGCAAAGCCGCGGCAGTAAACAGCATTTGATTTTTTTTTTTTATTATGGGTTTTATCTCCGTGGATGCAGAGAAAAAAGTTTTGTATTGACGCTGCTTTGAAAAGGAGAGTCAGTCTCCAGGAGGGACAGCACCGGGATTCTCCTCAGTATCTGTCTCTTTCTCTGGGGCTGCTGTTTCCAAAATCTGTTCAAGTGAGGTAAGTCAGTGATCGAAGATTTTCTTCTTATTAACTTATTTTAGTTACTGCTGCTGCTGTTACGATTAGTCTGCTAAATTGGGGATTGCATTTTCAGTTTGCCTGTCAGTCAATTTTAATCCAAATTATCTGTTTTCGTGACACATCTACTAGCACTGATGAAGGAGGAATGTGCTCCTCTTTGCACAGGGTTATGGTGACTGTGTGCAATGTGAATTGGATTTTCATTTCCCTGTGTTTATGTTCTAGGGATCATATTAATTATTATTTAAGGATTAATATTATTGCAGCCTGTATTTGGTGCTTAAATCCGAACACCAGCTAAACTCAAGAGTATTTTAAGCATGGGAAAAAATACAAGATGTGACTCATACTCATGTGCTGTACATTTGTCTATGGTTCTCTATTTATATGGCTGAAAAACTCAAGTGAAGGCATTCTGTTAAATACAGTAATCCACATGGTATTTCAAATAAACCAATGTGAATCTGCTAATTTCTGTGCAGATCGGATACCACTTGGTGAGTCAATGCAAATGTATATGTGCACAGTTTGTATTTTCCATACAAACTTTGCACATATATTGCAGCTTGGTTTCTTCTAAACGTGTCCTCTTTGCAACCAAAAATATGTGAATCCTGTACGACACACACACATTCACTCTCTCACGACCTACACAGCCACACACAGAAATGATTGCTTTTTATCCACATGGGCTCCTGCTTTTCTTCAAGACAAGAAAAACCAGAACACAACTGGAGAGTCATCTGCTGGCATTAATTATCATTTTAAAAGGTAATAAATACACATTAAGACTCCCCCCACACACACAAAGCAGTCACGCAGCGTGCAATTCACAAAGGTTGACATGCATACACAGATTAAAGGTCAATGCATGCAACCTTTCTGCACTTGCTGTATTAATCATAATGCCACACTCAAAGCACACGGCGTTGGTGTCGAGGTGAGGCTTAGACTGCTTTTTGCTTTGCTCCAAGAAAGAGCTGTTGACTTTTTACGAGTTATATTTGCATCCAAATCCACCCAGGACTCTGTCTCCCTTCTCATCCTTCTCAACGCTTGAAACCACCTTCATGCATTCACCCTCAAATTGATTATATTAGCAAAACCGTGGAAAGGGAAAATAAGCATTCCTTCATGGACCCATCGGCCCGCAAGCCGGAAACAAAATAATCCAAAATCGCCGAATGCTGCGTGTCTCTGTTCAGTCTCCAGTTGTGGAGGAAACAGAGCAGAAAGCTGAAGTGACTGCCTTGAAGACGTCTGTGGCTAAATTGGGATTCTTCTTTTGGGGATTCCTTGGTGTTTACGTAACCATGTTTAGAGTAATGGCATGTGTCATCTGGGGGTTTGTTAGAGGCGATGGGGAGTGGAGCTGATATGAATGCGAGGAATGAGAGCTTCTCAGTATCCTGATCTACAAGTATTGTGCACTACAGACAAGGACAAGAATAGCAACAAACACACAGAGAGGATGTCAGAGAAAGGGAGGGAAACAGAAACAGCAGGCTATGAGAAAGACGGCGATGAAGTGATACGTGCAGACAGCAGGCTGAGATATGTTCAGAGCCCCGCAGTGAGTTGGGCTGCGCTGGCATCGTGTTTGGCTGCTTTCTGAGTGTCAGAGATAAGTTTGTCATTCATCATACCGCACGCTGTCTGTCGGTCTGGTCTGAGACGGGTGAGCGGGCAAGCCAGCAAGCAGAACATTCACTCCCCGTTTCAAGGAGCAGCAGCGAGAGGTCTGCTTGGAAATATGAAAAAGGAGAGGCAGGCCTTAGAAGGGACAGTGTGCATCGAATTCAAGAACTGCGTATGTGAGATATCAGTGGCTTCCAAGGGTTTGGAAAATGCTTTACGTCCAACTGAAAGGGAAATGGATAAACACGGGGGATACACACTTGTGCAGCATCTCTATGCGTTTGTATCGGAATGGGATGAGGACGACTGCCATGGGAAAAAAACTGCACAAATGCAAATATACAGCTTTACCTAATGGCACACACAGCTTCAGTTTCACACACACACACACACACACACACACACACACACACACACACACACACACACACACACACACACACACACACACACACACACACTGAGTCATGCAATTAGGTCCCATCACTCAGGGAAGGTCAGCGACTATCTTCTGCTTGTTCTTATTCCTCAATATGAATCAAGCTAATGCACCATGTTTAATTCATAGATACATGCGATGTCACCCTCTCTCTGTCTTGGCATCCTAATCGTCGTGTGAACAAGGCGCTCAATTAACTCCTCAGGAATTACAGTGAAACTGCTCCTGCGTGTCTCTTGGAAAATCAGAGGAATCTTGAATCATGTGAACTAACAGGATTGTGGTACAGAGTTGCCAACGTAGAAAAGCCCTCTCCTTTGACTCCTAGCTGTATTAAGCTTGTCGGATAATGCAGACAATTTTGCTGTCATGGCATTGACTACTTACATTGGCTGTATTTCAAACCTCGAAAGACGAGCTGTTTGGAAATGTTCGGAGAAACTGCATAATTTGGACTAGTGCTGAAATGTCACACTTTCCCATGCTAGCAAACCATCTATCATGCTCAGACCGATCCAAGGGTGTGGTTTAACCTTTTCCATTAGCACTGTGTTGTCAGAGCCAGAGGTCAGGCCTTACTTTTTCATGTCCTGCTACCATAGAGCCGTGCACAGCTGTGTAAAAGGATAAAGACATTTAAAAAGTAGCATGAGACTCTCAAGTTGATTTAGCTGAAACCATTGAGTGAGCTGGACTGGTTAAGGTGGTGCAATTAAAGTTAAGTGTTATAATATGTGCAGCACAGCTGGAGCAGTTTCGAGCTCTATCCATCCTTCATGTTCACCTCTCAGCGTGAGTCAGATGTGAACTTTTTCCTGTCAAATGCTATTGTTTGATCGTGATTTTCCACGAAGACAAAGTGATCTGCTGTTGTACAATTCTATTTCACAGTCATCTGTTGCAGTTGTCTCTGCCCCGTTAAGCTGTTTACCAAGCACAGGCTGCATGAGCAGTTTCAGTAATAGAAGCTCGCCTCATTTGATTTGTGCTCACTGAAAACTCCAGGACAAAGACGCACATGAAATAAATGGACCACAATTGTCTTCATGTATTTTATGCACTGATACATCTCCTGTTAATGGTCAACTGCAGCACTTCATATGGTTGTATCAATAGGTGGTGCTAGAACAGAGTAAATGGTTGAGTGATGGTTCAGTAAACAGACACAACGGAGACGGTAGAGTGTGTGTGTGTGTGTGTGTGTGTGTGTGTGTGTGTGTGTGTGTGTGTGTGTGTGTGTGTGTGTGTGTGTGTGTGTGTGTGTGTGTGTGTGTGTGTGTGTGTGTGTGTGTGTGTGTGTGTGTGTGTGTGTGTGTGTGTGTGTGTACATAGTTACTCATTTAATTCTGATGGATCAACATTGTCAGATGTTTTTTCTTTGTGTTTCCACTGACATGTGATATCCTTCCTCCCTCTAATACCTGAATTAAATTTGCAGCGTGGCTACAGCTGCTCAGCTAATGGCATAACGTCCTCCCTTACTTCCTTGATCTATCAGATGTTCCCTATCTTAAATCATGGGCATTTGTTAGCAGAGCCGAAGAACGTGCAGTCCCACATGACACTTTTATTATTCCCCCTGCATTCATCTTACAGGTTTTCCTTATGGTAAAAATGGCCTTATAGGCTTTCAAATGTTTCTTACAAAAGGATATTGCAAATGTTGCTGGGGTTATTATATTATTATTATATTATATGTGCTGTTTTTAATGGTAAGGGACTCCAATAGGTGTCTGTATGTGGGGCAGACTGATGAAAGCCTCTTTACAGCTATTTAATTGGTCTTTAAACGTACAATTAATTCTCCGGAATGGTTTGTTAATTTCTTCCAGGCTAATAAAGCTTTTAATGTTTTAAGGTTTACGTTTAGGAACTCCTTGCAGACAACAGTGAACAATTACTCTGCTCTTTGCTAATATTGCCATTTGCCATAGACATTTCTATTAAAAAGCCTCAATTGAGTGTGAAAGCAGGGGGAGACATGTCAATGCACGTTCCTTTGGGTAAAATCATTAATATATTATGCAATGTATTTCTCTCACACAGTCTTTAATCCCATCTTTATCCCTCTGGAGGACATTGACAGAACATTTGACAATCACATCTGTATAAAATAGCCAATTAGCATGCTAATTTCCGAACACTTCTATGTCCCTGCTGTCAGAGAAACAAGAAAAATCATGCATGACAATTTGTTTTTCTTTTGATCTCACTGGTGTTTTCTACTCATTGATGGCAAGTACTAGTTTTTATTTAGCCTGTTATTCCAATAAATACTTTGCTCAAATGTGCTTAACTTTGGTTCACTTGTAGATCCGAGGTATCTGGTACCTGGCACCTGGTTAGACTGCAACAAATCTGCATGATTTAAAACCTTAAGAAATCTTATTGTGACATTGGGGAGGCGTGTGGTGCAGTGGGTAGTGCGTTGCAGTTTGGATCAGGGGGTGACAGGTTCAAACCCTGGGCAAGACACTTCACTCTAAATTGCTCCTGTGGGGATTGTCCACAGTACTGAGTATGTAAGTCGCTTTGGATAAAGGCGTCTAACAAGTGAAATGTAATGTATCTTGTTTCTTCTTCATAGTTTCCCCAGTCTTATGTCTTCGTTATTTTTTTACTTTTACTTTTCTTGAATGATACAGCGACCTGCTTTCTCCCATTTGATTGAATGCTTTCCTGTCTATCTCCTCGTCTCTTCATCTGTGTCCTCTGTTGTCCTTTAACGCTTCGTCCTTCACAGTTAATTGCATTCTCCGTCACTCCTGTTTTTTTGCTCATTTTTGTCTTCCTTCCATCCTCCCACTATTCCTCTAAATCTTTACACCCCCCTCATCCCCACCCACCCCCATCCTACCCCGCCACACGCCCCCCCCCCCACCCCCGTGTTTGGTTATAA